GCCCAGAATAATCATTTGATTTTACTTTAAGAAAACTACAAAAACCCCAGGGAAACCCTTGGGAGCCAGGTTGGGTTTCTGGGTATGTTAGGGGCAGGGGAAGGGATGGGCAGCGCAGAGCTGTGAGAAGGCCAATCTGAGGGGGTGGTGATGGGAAGAATGAGAATGGCAGGGGCTGCTTAGAGCTGGGCCTGGGACTTGGCAGAGCCTGCCAGACCCTTCACACACTTGACGGGTTCCCTCACCAAGCACTTTCGCAAGAGCAGCTGGTTTCCTTATTTTCTTTGACGCCCTCCTGCAGGGGCTGAGCCAGGACACACCAAATGCCAGCACCTCCCTGGGGGCTCTTAGAGGCCAACACTGGAGCCCCCTCACTCCAGTCCCCAGGGCCTCCAGATGAGCTGGTCTGACCCAGGCCAGCTCTCATCCCCCTTTCCTCACAGTCCTGGGTGTAAACCCCACCTCTGCCATCCTCCTGCTCTGTCACCTTGAGAACATTCTGCTGGAGACTCAGGTGAGCGGGGCAGGGAGTGCAAACCAAGACCATCCTACTTAATTCTGGGTCTCCCAGCTGGAACCACACATCTTAGGAGGTCACTGTTGCAAGGGAGGGAACTTGGAAGCCACCTAGTTCAGTCTCTTTGTGGAAAAACACTGAGGCCCAGACAAGGGTGGAGTTCCTTGGTCAGCCAAGGAGAGGGACAGATGGATCACAGACTTGACATCTAGGGGCCTTGGCTCAGAGATGAGGAAACAGGCTCCGAGAAGAGTAGGGGCTTACCACCCATGGAGTTGGTGATAGTTGGGCTGAGGTCTCTGGGAGGCCTCTCCCCATAAGACTGACCAGGGTGCTACCTGCCACCCAGGTCACAGTGCTGACACCAGCTATGTGCAAATTGGAGACACCTGGTGCCCAGGTGGCAGACATTCATAAGGGTCTTCACCACCCACCATACCTACCCAGGGGTCCCAGGTGCCTCCTTGGGAGGTGGTAAGGCTCAAGTGGTGACAGGCCCAAGGTGGCATCAAGTCCCAGAGAGCCTGGGAAGGAAGGAGGTGGCAGGAGGGTCGGGCAGGGCCTGAGAGTTAAGCTAGGGCTTTTCTTCCCACAGACGGCCCTCAGCGCCTTTTTCCAGGAGACCAACATTCCCTGCAATCACCACCACCACCAGATGGTAAGTGTCCCCAGTGGCCTCGGGCAGCTATGGCAAGGGTTTCCAGTTTAAGCTGCAGTGGCTCTTGGTCATGGAGGGGCCACCAACAGGTCTAGCAGGCCAGCCCATTTCAGCACCGCACCTTTCCTTTGTGAGCCCCTGACTGGTGGACTGGGGGGCAAGGAGCATGTGTGTCCAGCTAGGAGCCATTGGGAGATTGGGGCCTCCCAGAAAGAGTGCTCACCCCTCCCTCTCTGCTCTCCTCCCCACAGATGTGCACTCCCGCCAACACCCCTGCAACGCCTCCCAACTTCCCAGATGCCCTCACCATGTTCTCCCGTCTCAAGGCCTCTGAGAGCTTCCACGGTGGCGGCAGCGGCAGCCCAATGGCTGCCACGGCCACATCACCCCCGCCGCACTTGCCCCACGGTGCCACCGGCAGCTTTGCAGCGCCCAGCTGGCCAATGGTGGCTTCACCCCCAGGGGGACCACAACACCACCAGCCACAGCAGCCGCCCCTGTGGACTCCGGCACCCCCTTCCCCGGCGTCAGACTGGCCACCCCTGGCCCCCCAACAAGCTGCCTCAGAACCAAGGGCCCACCCTGCCATGGAGGCTGAGAGATAAGGGAGGCCCCTCCCCCCTCCCGGAGGCCAGGACCCCGTGGGGCGGGGGAGAAGACATCTCCACTGGCCCCCTTTACCCTCTGTCTGCACCCCCATTCCCTGGAGCCCTGGAGGGGAGAGACTGGACCCCCTGTGCCAGCACACAGGCTGCCTGCAAGTATGCAGAAGTGCAGGCACGCAGCACCCAGCTTGCATGGATTTGGTTCAGATCATCTGGGTGCTGGTGGACAGAACTTCAGAGACCAAACAGTCTTTCCCAGAGGACTCACCCCACCTCAGGAGGCTGCGGAGACTTGCCTGGCTCCTACGGGAGACTTGCGCTCCTACCGTGGAGCTCCTTGGGGCAGGCAGGCCTAGATCCCCACCCTCGGGAATGCAGAGCCTTCTCCGCATGTGTGCGTGTGGCTGTGTCTGTGTATTTATATGTATGTTACTCAAGAAGCAACCTAGTTTATGGGGCAGCTGGACTTTGCATGTTAGAGTGAGCCCTGAGTCCCTTGCCCGCTGCCCCCCTCCCCAGGGCCCTCTTCTCTCCCCCAACTCAGTAGCCAGCCTTCCTGTTCCCTGCAGAGAAAAGGATTGTGGGAAACTCCAGGACTCTTCCCACCCACCCCCCAGTGCCTGCCTGCTGGGACTGCCTGCATGCCTTGCCCAGAGCCCGGGGGGTACCCCATACCCATTTCCTTTCCCCCTTTTAACAAAGGAGAAGAAAGAGTTCCAAACCACCACCAGGCTCTGTGGTCTTGCCTCTTATCCTAAGCTTTGCTGCCAGCTGGCTCTTTGTGGGGAGGGCACAGCCAGCCAGAACAGAGGGCTACCCTCCAGTCCCGCACTGCTCCTGTGTGTTGCTGTCTTTTCATCCACAACATGCACTGGAATCTTCCCCCCTACCTAAGGCTTTTCCCATGAAGTTAGTTTCTGGCCTGTGTTCCCAGAATCGCAGCCTCTGCCCACCCTTCCCCCTTCCTGGCTAGAGGGATCCAGACCTCCAAGGCTAACAACTGCCTTCCGGTCTGCTGGAGTTTCACATAAAGACCTTTCTTCCTGTCTCCAGGCCCCAGTGGCTCACTGTGGGCTGGATCCTCAAGCCCAACCTCCAGCAAACTTGCTGGGTGGGGCAGGGCCTTCCCCTGGGGAGGCGCCGGCCACAGTGCCTGTAGTCCACAGGCTTAAATGCAGAGCCAGTGAGGGCTAGGGACAGGACCAGGCGGGGGCAGAGTCCAATCAGTGCTCAAACCATTGGTCAGTAAGGAGACAGGCCGCTCAGGGGCGACAGGCAGTGGATCTGGGCTGCTTCTGAACTGGGCTGGGGCAGGTACCTATTCTAGCCCCAAGAAAAAGCCAGATGCTCCACACTGCCTTGGGCTACCCACACTGCGGGGAGGGTGCCTGGGGCCCTCTGCAGTTCCTCACCAGCAGACAGCACTCCCTGATCCGGGAGCAGCCCAGTGCTCAGTCTGTCTGGGCACTGCAGCCCTACGTGGGTTGCGCCTGGTGGGAGTTTCTTCTGTTTCGGAAGGCCTCTGCCTGACTGGCCTTGCCACTCACCACCATCAGTCCTCTCGTTCCCAGGGATAGGGCTGTGCTTCCCAATGAGGATGCCACGGCCCAGCTCTGTCTCCGCCCGCTTGTCCTGGACAGGTCTTGACGAAGCCCACCTAGGATGACTCTTTACTCTGATTGTCACTGAAGACCGACCTCTGGGCCCCCACTTGAGCTGTTGCTTACATCCCAGAGTGTGTCCTCACCTCGAAACCCACTTTCCAACAGCCTCTCGGTTCCAGAGAGGACACAGCTCTGCCTGAGCATCAGCTTCTTTTGGATGGAAGGAAATTCTCAGGAAATTGTCACATCCCTTCTTCAAGTGGTAGGAAAATGATTTGTAGAGGCAAGCATTTCTGGGTTATCAGCTGTGTGGGGTGAGCATGCCTGGGCTCTCCCAGCAAGTTAATTACTGGGGTGGCTGTAATGGAACAATAGGAAATAGTGCACCATCTAGAATTTGCCATCCTGGAGGATGCAGGGCTCGACCCCAGGCAGGCCCCTATGTGGTCTGTACTTGAACCACATCCTCACTGCTCAAAGTGGTCCTCAGACTAGCAGCGTCACCTGGGGCTTGTTAGAGATCGGACCTCAGGGCCCAGTTGGAGAAATGTCCCCGGTAAGTGCTGGTTTGTTGGAGGTGAGGCCCATTTTTGTTTCTGGGAGCCATGTGGGCTGAGCCTGGAGGTCCCAGGGGGTCACATTAGGCTAGAAGGGATTTGAGGTTCCTGTAGACATTGGTGCTGGATCACTACCATGTGGGCATCCTGTGCACTGTGGGATGTCAGCCAGCATCCTAGTCCCTACCCAGTAGATGCAGGTGTGACAACCAAACTGTCTATAGATACGGCAAAATGTCCCCTTTTCCTCACGGAGAGTCCCTGCTCAAGGCTGGTCCCACGGCTGGCTACACAGCAGAGCCTCCTGGAGGCTCTGAAAAGACAAGCACCCCCAGATTCCTGGGCTCAGTGTCAGAATTCCTGGGGTGGGGGTGGCCCTGACAGTATAGTTCTATTTACTTTTTAAAATATGTTTTTATTGAGTTTTAGAGAGAGAGGAAGGGAGAGGGATAGAGAGAGAAACATCATCGATCGTCTGCCTCCTGCATACCCTTCTCTGGGGATCAAGCCCACAACCCAGGCATGTGCCCTTACCTGGGGAATAGAACTGCCACCTCTTTTTTTTTTTTTTTTTTTAATATATTTTTATTGATTTCAGAGAGGGAGAGAGAAAGAGAAACATCAATGATGAGAAAGAATCACTGATCCTCTGCCTCCTGCAGGCCCCCCACTGGGGATTGAGCCTGCAACCTGGGCATTTGCCCTTGACCGAAATCGAACCTGGGGCCTTTCAGTCTGCAGGCCGACACTCTATCCACTGAGCCAAACCGGGTGGAGCAAGAACTGCCACCTCTTGGTTCATAGGTTGATGCTCAACCATTGAGCCATGCTGGCTAGGCCTGACAGTATAGTTTTAAACACTTCCAGAATATTGTTGATTGACTTGTGAACAAATTAAAAAGCATTCAATTGCCCTAGCCGTTTTGGCTCAGTGGTTAGAGTGCCGGTTTGCGGGCTGAAGGGTCCCAGGTTTGATTCCAGCCAAGGGCACGTGACATGCCTGGGTTATGGGCTCGGTCCCCAGTGCTGGGGGGTGGGGGGCGCAGGGGACGCATGCAGGAGATAGCTGATCAATGATTCTCATCATTGATGTTTCTATTTCTCCCTCTCCCTTTCTCTCTAAAATCAATAAAATTCCTTAAGAGCTATTAATGAGAAATAAAGTTAAAAAAAATAAAAACCCATTGCACACTTTAAAAGATGGGCACTGTAGCATGTTAATTATGTCAAAGCTGTTTTTAAAGGTAAAATAGCTCCCAAGTGCTTCCCACCCAGCACATACCTTTCCCAGCCCCCGAACTTACAAAGCATAAGGGTCACTTGGGTGCTTGAGGCAACCGTTCTGGAGGAGGGCCCAGTGATACGGTTTTTAATAAATGCACCAGGCAAGGTGGGACCCAGAGCAGGAGGAAGCAGAGGGCAGGGCTGGAGCTGGGGACTCGGGTACTTTCCAGCAATGCAGAGAGCGGCCCTGCCAGGTGTGCCTGGAGCCCCCTGGCTGAGCATCTCCAGGCAAGGGAATGGCTACAGAAGTGAGTTGGCCAAACTCAAGGGGAGCCAGAGGTGGGCCTATGCAGGTGCCACAAGCCCTCAAACTGACACAGAGAACCAGGAATCTTCCTTAGCTTCCCCAAGCCTGGGAGCTCAGGAATAATACTGAAAGCATCAATAACCATCTATTACATATTCAAGTGTAAATGGGCTAAAAAGTAAAGGTGCTGGTATACAAATGGAACAGGTATTTACAGCCAGGTTCGGCTGAATCTCGGGTGACTCTCGGGCACCTGGGAAAATCGGCCTTGTCACTTCAAAGTCTACCCTCTTCTGGGCTTGGTCACCTACATGACCACCAGACTTGAGCTTCAAATGACTGTTTCCAAAATTCCACTTTAAACACACCATTTGCATCCATGAAGTTGCTTACAGGAATGTGATTTGAGCTCTACGTATCTCATTTCTGAAGGGGGAATGTGGCAGTGTGTGGGAATGACGACCTGGCCTCCCGAGAACAAGAGGCGGCTGCACCCTCTGGTCTGCCATTAAAAGAGGGGGGTATGGTTGTCTTAGGGCAGTGGTCGGCAAACTCATTAGTCAACAGAGCCAAATATCAACAGTACTTCAAAATAGACTCGCCCAGGCCGAAAACTGACTTCTGTGCATGGGCCACGAAGTTTCAATCGCACTGTACGCGTGCCCGCACGTGGTATTTTGTGGAAGAGCCACACTCAAGGGGCCAAAGAGCTGCATGTGGCTCGCAAGCCACAGTTTGCCGACCACGGTCTTAGGGGGTTGCAAACTCACAGTCCCATAGTGTGCTGTTTGGCTTGCATAGTGTGTTTTTTTTGTCTGCTAACATTTTCAAATGAGGATAGTTTACATGAAATGCCTCCCTTCTGGCTTATCTTGGAAATTTGTAACATTGACATTCCCTCATGGCCACAGCTGGCTGAAGCGGACCATCACAGTGAGGACACAGCCAGCCTGCCCTTGACCAGCCAGCCATTCCACTGGCCACCAGGATATGTGTGTGTGTCGAATTCTCGTCCTGTCTTGGAATCAGGTGGGATCTCGCTTTCCCGGGAGGAGCTTTGGACATAAATGCCCTGCTCTGTGGGGTGGGGGTGGGCGGCACCTGGCAGGTGAGTGGTGACTCTAAAATGCTTTCTGTGGGCAGGCAGGGCTTCACACAGCTTTAAAGAGAGGAGGGCTTGTTCCCCTGCAATATTCTCTGGGTGACAGGGACGCTCCCAGGGCTGCTGAGGGTGCCCAGGGTCTTCCTAGGGTTTGCTGAGAACACATTGTGCCTCCGAAGAAAACCACTGTCCCTAAGGCTGGCCCCCAAACCCAGTGGGCGGGGCTGCTGGGGCCGGGATCTCTGAGGGGCTTTTCATAGCAGGACTCATTTGAGGACAGACTGGCTTTGACTCCAGTTGCTTCCCAGTGTCAGTGTTGGGGAGGCTGCCTGGGTTGGGCCAAAAGGAGATATTTTGAGGCAAAGCTGTCTCCAATTTCTACATTTGGAAAGGTCTCTGGTTGCTTAGGCACAGCTATGATTGGGCAGTATATGTATTTCCAATGAGCCTTAAAAGAATACCACTCTTTTAGGGGTGGGGTGCTAGGTCCTCCTCCAGGGTGGCTGAGGCCTCCTCAGTGGCACAGTAGGAGGTGCTGGGAGCCTGTCGGCAGAGTTCTGCTCTGCTTTCTGGGGCCATTTCTTATCTGGGGAATAACAGCTGCAAATACTGGTGGGGACATTTTCTGCGGATCCTGGTGACGCCATGAGCAGGAGGAGGGAGGAGAGAAGCCCTTCTCTGGCAATTGTGTGGGGGTTTGGAGGGTCTCTGCCTAAATCCATACAAAGTCAGGGGTCAAGCCAGCCAAAGTGATGGTGACGGGGACCAGTGTGGACTGATTTCAGAGTGCCTGCACAGAAGGCACTGCCTCACTGCTGCCTCTGGCAGCCTGCGTTTGGGGACTGGTAGTGCTTTTTCCAATGCAGATCCACTTGTTTGGGACACACGTTTGCTGTTGTCGTCGTTTATACCTTAGGGTTAATGAGTTCCTGGTCATTGAAAAGGAGAAAATGTTTAGTGACCCTTTAACTTGCATCAGTGGGTTGTGGGACTGGGTTTGGGGGTGCAGGGTGGTCACACAGCATCTCCATTCTGGCAGCACCTTAAGGCATGACCCTGTGCTTGGCAAGAGGCATTTCCTTCCCTTCCTGCAGGCTCATTCATGCAGCCCTACATACTGGCCACCCTACATGACTTCCACCTCATATGACCAATTTATCTGTCTTAAAGCTGAACGTTCCAGAGCCCCCCACCCCCCCACCCCAGCACACACGCGCGCGTGCGCGCGCACACACACACACACACACACACACACACACACACACATACACATACTCTCAGGCAGTTGGGTCACCCTACTCCCTGTCCAGCCTGGTCCTGCCACTGTGTCCCAGGCTGGGGCTGTGGTCCCCTTTACAGAGGAGGAATCTGGACCTAGGACCCTCCGAAATCCCTATTCTGCTGACTCCACCCCTTGTTCTGTCCATTCCCCAAGCGCCTTCCCCTGCTGGGGTGGGGTGGGCCACCCTCCTGAGGCAGCTGCCCTGGCAGTGGGCACAGCACCTCCCCTCCAGTTTTCAAGGCCTTCAGGTCCCACCCCGTGGGGCTGGGATCAGGGAGGGGGAGTTCTGCAAGGATTCTGCCTGCATCTCCACCTGGGACCAGGCCTAAAGCCAGCTTCCCCCACCCCATGGGGGAGAGGACTGTCGTCTTTCAGGATTGCCCCTGGCTGGCTGCAGTTGGGACTGCGGTTTCCCACCCTCCAGAGCATTGAGGGCTGTCAGAAAGCAAACGATTACACACTGATTCCCGGGTCTCACTCCACTCCCTGGGCTACAGGAACCAAGTAGAGCACTGACTCTGAGAAATGGCTGAGGAGGCAGCTTTGAGGGGCTGAATGGGGATGGATATGAGGGGCAGAAGGTGGCGAGCCCAGGTGCCTGTGGGTGCCCTCATGTCAGGGTTTCAAGGGACAAGGCTGGCATGGAGCTTTCCCAGGAACTCCAGCTGCCTGTTTGCCAGAGCACAGGCCATATCTCCTTTTCTTGCCTCAGAGAAGTCCAGGCCCTCTTACCTGTGTACAGCATCCAAGAAGTATGGCCCCGTGGGTGGGGGCTGGAGAGCTGAGCCCTCACTGTTACCCTGGGCAAGTCACACCAATGTCCCTGCCCACAGACCCCTGATTTGCCCATCATACAGGCCTGGGGCAGCTCAGGGCACTTTGCCACAGTGGGAAGTATGACGGAGGAGGGATGGTTGGTTGCAATTCTCTGCTGAGGGTCAGCCACGGTGGTTCCAGTGGCTCTGGGAGGCTGACCCTGGCATGGTGGCCAAGGAAGGACCAGCAGGTTCACACACTCATGTGGGGCAGGCAAAGCCACCCTCCACAAAGGACACTGGGTCAGTTACCCTCATCCACAATCAGAAAAGTGAAAGGTGAAAGATTTTATTCTGGGGAGGAGTTGCCAAAAATACTCATCTGTGATATGGGGGGTGGGGTGGGGTGGAGATGGAGGCTGGGGCTTCAGCACCAGTGTCTGTCCAGGCGGCATAGACCTGGGTCAGGAAGAGCTTGGCCCCATGTGGACACAGTCCTTGGAGAGAGAAAAGAGAAGTCAGGGCTGGGAGTGGTCACCAGTAGGGAACTGGGGGGAAGCCTGGGGGACATTAGGAAGGGGCAGGCACACAGTGTCCCTGGACTCCAATGGCCACCTGGTCTAGGGAACTCCATGCCAGTTCCCTGGCAGAGCCTTGAGTCCCCCAGCCTCCCCCACTCAGGGCAGACACCACCCCCCCCCCCCAAGAGCTCACCCCACCTCACTCCCAGGGGCCTCTAGTGGATGGTGGTGGGGGAGGGTCATGGTCTGATACTACACAGAGGGAAAACTTTTTCAGTGTATGAAATGTGATAGAGTATCAAGTACACAAAGGGCAGAGCACAACTGGACAAGTGAGGGAGTGAAAACCCAGAGGGAGAAGAGAGGGAGGGATGAGCCACCCACGACAAGAAATCAAGCCAGGCGTGGACTATGCAGGCCCGCAGGCAGGTGTAAGCTCAGCTCTGCAAGCCAAGGAGGGCCCCTAAACTGCCAGCTCGGAATGTTCTGACCGCCCAGTTTGCTCTGTTCCACCAAGTGCATGGGCAGTTAGCATGGGAACCAGACTCGCCTCCCAGGCGTGCAGGACCCCAGCCCTGGATGGGACAGAGCAATCCTGGACTATTCCAGGGGCATCGCTCCAAGTCCCTCAGGGATTCGCCAGAAGTAAATACAAATAACCAATTTCTTTAAACATTCACTTCATAACAGTAATTACTGGTGGAGATAATCAATACAAATTTTTAAAAAATGCATGTGGTAACATTTGGTTCCCATGAGAAAATTGGTCCTGGTAGAAATAATGGCACCCAAAGGAAATGGACAGTGGCAGACACTGGAACTGAAACTGATGAAATCATTTCAGCAAAGTAAAAAGGAAAGTGTTTTTTAAACCACTTGAACTATGCTATATTGAAAATTGGTCAAGGAGCCCTGACCAGTGTTTCTCAGTGGTTAGAGTGTTGGCCTGAGCACAAAGGAGTTATGGGTTCAATTTCTGGTCAAGGGCAAGGGTTGCAGGTATAGTCCCGGTCCTGGTGGAGTCGCATGTGAGAGGCAACTAATCAATGTGCCTCTCTCACATCGATGTTTCTCCCTCTCTCCCACAACCCCTCTCTCTCTAAAATTCTATGGGAAAATAGCTTTAGGTGAGGATTAGCAGGAAAAACATTGGCTAAGGGATTAGATTGGTTTAGTGGAAAATTCAATCTAGAAAGCTGTGCTCTTCACGTAACATAGGCTAAGAAGGATTGTGTTGTATTTATATGCAAAGTGATTAAAAGCCACTAGGTCACAATGAGTCCCTTATGGAGGTCCCCTCCCCTATGTCCAGGGCCCCTGCACATTCCCCAGGCCTGGTCTTGGCTGGCACGGGGAGGGGAAGGGATGGTGGGGGCACCGGGTGCAGGGCTCACGGGTGGTCGGGCTACTAGGTCGTCTGCGTGCTGACTCGGGAATAGAGGCGCTGAGGCCTTGGATGCCTGATGGACCCTGAGGCCTGCTGGGGCTCCTGCAGGTGTGGCATCAGCGGAGGCAGCAATGGCAAGGGTGGTAGAGATGGAGTGTGAGCTGGTGTCGTTGAACGGGGGCCTGAAGTCTCTGAGCGGATGTTGGCACTGGAGCGCAGGGCTGGGAGGGGCAAGAGAGACCCGTGATTTGTCCTAAGAACATTCTGGGGAGAGACTAGCCTGACTAAGGAGCGGAGAAACCCTAAACTGGAAGTGCTTCATCGCGGCTCATCCAGTCTCAAGCACCCTAAACCTCCGGGGTGAGGGGTGACCCAAGATAAAAGCACACCAGGAGTGGAGCAGGGCACCCGGAGGAGTCCTGGCTCTGGCATTCCTCAGCCCAGGGTCGCTGTGCCTCAGCTCCCCCTCTTTCAAACGGACTGGTGCCCCATAACTCTGGGCACCAACTGGGATAAGGACAGATCAGAAGGGAGAGAGTGCTTTGTCCACTGTAAAGTGCCCACAAATGCCTGGTACAGGGCGATATGCATCAGGGGAGCTCAGTTCCCTAGCCTGGTCAAGGAGCCCTGACTGGTGGATATTGGGGGAGGGCGGTGGTCATGCCCTGATACAGCTCACAGGGCTCCAGCAGAGAAACACCGGAGAATGAGTGGGCTCCCTTCTCCCACCTTTGCAGCCAACTGGCCACTTGGGAGAAGATAGCCGGCCTAGGTGCCCAGGCCAGGAGGCCAGACTGAAGGGTGAAGCAGGAGCCCAGAATGGGAGCTGGGAGCTGGGTGCTGGGTGGGGGCCACTCCAGAGCATGTGAGAGACGTACAAGGTGGGGCAGGACAGCCCCGGTCTGGGACTGAGGGACCCAGCCAGAATCCCAGTGGGCCAGCAGCTTGGGGAACAGGTACTCACGGGGGCAGATGACACCAAAGCGCTCATATAGGTTTCGAGTCGGGGGACGTGGAACCTTTACAGCTTAGTGGAAAAGAGGGGAAGAGACAGGAATGGGTGGCAGCCCTTCCAGAGATCTGCCCGCCCCCCACCTCCCTGGAGCCCCCATCCTGTCCTCTAGCTCCTGCAAAGGCCTTTTCAGTCTGGTGGGACTGCCATTTCCCAGCCCCCCCCAATACACCTGACCCCCCCCAACCCCCCATTTGTGTATGGAAGGACCATCCCTCCCCACCTTGAGCTTCTTAAATCTAAGGTATCAGAAAAAGGCTTTTTGAAAGTAACTTAAGGCCCGGGAGGAGACATTAAGATACAGTGAAATGTTAGCAGGACTACTTACAGGTTAGATGTCTGGCAGTTCTTTAGATCTTCCCACTCCACTGAGGGCCAGACCATCATAGTGCCCCCACCCCCATCTTCCTGCCTTTCATCTCATGTGTGCATTTTTTTAAGTAAAATTCACATAACATAAAATTAACCATTTAAGGGAAACAATTTGGTGGCATTAAGTTCATTCACAAGGTTGTGCAATCATCATCTCCATCTGGTTCCAGAACATTTCATTACCCCAACAGGAAACCCCATGCTCATGAGGCAATCATTCCCTCTTCTCCAGCCCCTAGCAACTGCTAATCTGCCTTCTGTTGCTGTGATTTGTCTGTGCTGGACGTTTCATAGAAGGGGGATTATACAATAGGTGGTCTTTTGGGTTTGGCTCCATCCACTTTTGAACCCAAGAACCACTATGACTGGCCATTCAGAATCCAGACCAAAGGCCGCTGCAGAAGAGGACGGGAATGTGCAGTAGAAGAGGCCATGAGAGCGAAGATGGAGGGGTGAAGAGGAGAGGGGAGGTCCAGTAGGCAGCCAAGCAGGGCACAGGCAAGAGTTACGGGGCACCAAGCTCCTTCCTGTGCGGGACACCAATTGTTCCTTCTGCCTGAACAGATATGTCCTGACAATTCCTGCCTCAAATGTCCCTTCCCAGAGAGTCCTTTAGACACCCACTCAACAGGGACCTCTCCCTGGTCATTCTTCCCCCCGTTCCTGTGTTCATCTTATTTACTCATTGACTTATGACTTATTCATTTACATTTCACCATCCCTCATGGAGTAAAAATTCTAAGGGAGCAGTAACTTTATTTTGGTTACACTGAGTTTCCCCAGCGGCTTCTGAAACACACCTGACACTGAAGGCTTAACAATGACCTGGGCCATGTGGCAGCAGGAGGTGCCACACAGATCTCCTTGAAGAAAGAACTTGGTCAGCTGCAGGAAGCACAGGGGTGAAAAGCCTCCACCTGTTAGCAGCTCAGGGTCTTAGTACCCGGGGTCTGTTAGCATCTTGGGAACTGTCAGCAGCTCACAGTTTGTTAGTTCCTGGGGTCTGTTAGCAGCTGGGAGTCTGTTAGCACTTCCAACCAATGACGGGAGCACAGGGCCTGGCCATCTGCTGGGCTGTCTGCTCAGAAGCTCCCCACTGGGCTGGCCTGGACCTCATCAAGTCTGTGCACTGTCTGAGGGTCTCTTCCTGCTCCCTTCCTTTCCTTCTACCTCTGTTAATGCCCTTTCCTCCCAAACCTCTTGTATTCCTTGAGCCTACAACCTCAAGGACCCAATTGGCACCACCTTGATTGCCCATGAGCCCCTGGCATCCATAGCTTGGGTCATGTCCCTCGAACCTGAGTTAAGAACGACCACCCGTGTGCTTGATGGATTCTGCCCAAGAGCCAATGCCTGGCTGAGGTGTGCTCCCTGGCTCCCACTCTGATTCCCAGTTGGCACCTCTATCCCTCCCCAAGTCAGAGATGGGACCTGCCAACTAGCCGACCAGCAAGACTGTCAAATTGCTTCCTTTCAAGGTAAGGGATGTGGACCCAGGGTACAGGGTCCAAATGGAGACACAGCGAGGCCAGGGGGCCCAGCTGATGACCCAGCACTGTCCTTGACGTCCCCCACAACCTTGGACTCTGCATGTCCAGATCCGAACTCTCCACCTGACCCCAACATCCGCTCCTGCTGGGCTCTTCTCTGAGCTTTCCCACCTCTGCACAAGCCAGAAAACTTCCCAACGGGAGGGAACACTGAGCCCTGGCAAATAGGAAAGGTTCTCCAGGGGTTCCAGGCTGAGTACACAGTGTGGGCAGAGGCCAAAGGCAAGAATAGCTTGGCTTATTGAGAGAGAGCGAGAGAACAGTTCCACGAGGTTGGACAGATAAGGCAAGGGGGCCAAGGGACCCTGAAGATCAGCCAAGGAGTCTGGACTCTGAGGACAATGCCATCCTAGATGCCCATGTCCTAATCCCCCGAATCTATGAATACACCACCTTATGTAGCAAAGGGGACTTTACAGATGTGACTCAATTAAGAAATTTTGAGACAGGGAGATGGTCCTAGATTACAGAGTCCTTATGAGGGAGGCTGGAGGGTCAGAGTCAGAGAAGGAGATATGAGAATGGAAACTAAACTCAGAGTGATGTCCTCTGAAGACGGAAGAAGGGGCCACAAACCAAGGAATGAGGAGGCCTCTAGAAGGTAGAACCAGCAAGGAAACAGATTTTTCCCCAGAGCCTCAGAAGGAACCAGCCCTGCTGACAACTCGATTTTAGCCCAGAAAACTCGTTCCAGATTTCTGAACTCAAGAACTAAAACAAAATGTTGTTTTAAGCCACTCAGTTTATGATAATTCGTTAAAGTAGTCCCTCTGAACTGGGGAGGGGCCTGGCCAGGGGTGTGTTTTAGGCAGTTCACCCAGAGATGGTGAGGAAGGTGAAGGCTGGAGACAAGTCTCCTACTTCCTCAGTTCTACCTTCTGCCTCTGTGCCCCTGCCATCGCTTCTTACCTGAGCCCTGCCCATGCTTAGCCTTCCATGGAGATTCTCTGAAAGTCCAGCCTACTGACTACCAGCCTCAGCATGCCCACCGCCCTCCTGCTGGGAGCAGCACTCCCTGGAGATCGAGTGTTCCTCTGCCCTGAGATCCTGACCACAGTACAGGCATCTGCAGGCCACAGGCTGGCTGGATACCCCTCATGGGGCTGACAAAGGCTGAGTGCACAGCAGGATACAGTGGAAATTGTTGGGATGAACAGATGAATGCATCTGTGACCAGGCTGGACCAGGGAGGGACTCACACCAACTAGTTGAGGTTTAATAATTGTTTTGGATTAAATGTTCTTTTGAGTAAATAAATGAGTGCTAAGAGCACACTGGTCAAAAGATCTGGCCACAGGTACGCTTCTAATTGATTTTGTTGTTGTTAATCCTTACCCAAGGATATATATATTTTTAAATATATTATTGTTTTCAGAGGAAGGGAGAGGGGAAGAGAGAGAGAAACATCAATGATGATAGAGAATCATTGATTGGCTGCCTCCTGCATGCCCCCTACTGGGGATCAAGCCCACAACCCGGGCATGTGCCCTTGACCGCAATCGAACCTGGGACTTTTCAGTCCAAAGGCCGATGCTCTATCTATCCATTGAGCCAAACCAGCTAGGGCCCAAGGATATTTTTTCCATTGAATTTTAGAGAGAGTAGAAGGATGGTAAAGAGAGGAAGAGAGAGAAACATCTGAATGAGCCCTGACTGGGGCCAGGGATCGAACCTGCAACCCAGGTATGTGCCTTGACTGGGAATTGAACCTGTGACCCTTAGGTGCACAGGCCGATGCTCTAACTACCTGGGCACACCTCCAGGGTGATCCTAATTGTTTTTTAATGCTAGACTTTGTTGCCTTTAAGCCGGATAAAGCAGTTGAGTTATCATGATTCCATCTGCTTTGCTGCTTATGGGTCTTGAGAATGAATGAGCCATACCCTTTCATCTGGAGGGAGAGGAGTGTTGTCTGGTGAGTGAGTGGGGTTGAGGGCCAGGTGTGTAAGGCTATCCTGGTCCCTCCACCAAGGCTGCCTTTACCTGCAATGCCTGCCCAGTTGTATATTAGCCACCATTGTTATTATCCTGCCTGTTGATCCCTAAAGCCCAGCCTGAGTCCCCTCCCAACAGCATCCTCTGCCAGGCACCTGGAAAGGAGCTGTTAACCTTGCAGGCCACATCCTTGCTCCATGAGGGACATCATAGGGTTTAAGATGGTAGCCTGCCCTCGTGAACCAGAGGGAGGGCCTTTAATAGGTTGAGTGGTGGCCCTCAAAAGACCTGTGAATGTAACCTTATTTGGAGAAAAAGTCTTTGCGGATGTAATTAAGTGAAGGATCCTGAGATGAGAGCATCCTGGGTTAAGCTGGGCTTTAAATCCAATGACACATGTCCTTAAAAGAAACAGAAGAGGAGAATAACAGGGAGAAGGCCATGCAAAGATGGAGGCAGGGACTGGGGAGATGCGGTCACAAGCCCAGTAAGAGAAGGCACTCCTTTGGCATTGCTGGCATAGTGCTGGAGCTAAATGGTGGAGTCCCTGGGAGAAGCCAGTTGGAGCCAGGGCCTCAATACTGCAGCAACCAGAGCATTGATTCCACAAGTGTGACAGACTCTCCCCCAGCCCAATCCTAGCCCATCCTTGACATTAGAACACTGGCCTCCAGAGTCTGTCCACATCCTCTTCATCACACCCCAATCTCTGCACCTCAGGTGGACTCACCTTTCTGAGTGCCTGACTATGCCTGGCTTCCCCAGGGCCTTTGCACCTGCTATTTCTTCCACCTGGACTGCTCTCCTCCCACTTGACCCCTTCATCCAGTAAAACCCTAGTCCCTCTTCACAGGCCTCAAGGCAGCATCTAGTCCCTCTCCCTGGACCAGTGTGCCTTGTTACAATTCTCCCATCACCAGCCCAGCATCCCATCTTTGGGTGGGCCATCAGCATCCTTCCCCAAACCTGCACACTTTGTCACAGCTGTCCTAGGACCAGGGCCATCCCTTCAGGCCAGCTGTTCTTCCTCACCTTCGGTTATCTGCTTATGGTCTGCTTCTCCTACTCATGTGGAGACTCCAGGGCACAACCATCTATTTTGTTCCCCTGTGTCTCCCTGGCACCTGGCTGAGTGCCTGGCATACAGTAGGACCCCATTTTTGCAAGTGGCTGTGTGAGGACGCCCCAGTCAGGAATTGCGCCAACCCTGGACCCTGCCTGCATTTGCTCATGCTGACCAGCAAAGCCAGGACACCAGGCAGGGGTGCCCAGGAAGGCCTGACGCCCCTCACCAGCCAGCTCCTTCTCCACGCTGGTCAGTGGCTGTGTGCCTTCCTGGTTCTCCATTCGGCCCTTGTACAGGATCCCATCCACTCCCAGGATGTCCACCTCGGCCTGTTGGAGGGCCCGGGCCCCAGGTAAGGGAGTGTCTTTGAGCCTCTAGTATACACAGAGGCCCAGCAGACAGAGCACGGCTCCCCAGGGGTCACCCACCACCCGGGCTGCGACCTGACTCACGGTATCATAGTCCAAAATATCAGGGTCCCCATAGGGATAGAGTGTTGTCAAGTTATATGACTTGAGCTTGAGGTTTGCATCATTCCCAGGGCCGTCGTGCCAGTCCTGGTCTCCAAGGTTCTGGAGCTGCTGCTGCTCCCTGGGGCAGAGCAGGAGGGTCAGCAGCCACCTAGAGACCCCTCCGCCCCCGAGGAGCCTAACGACAGGCCCTGAAGGCCTGGCCAGTAGCAAGAGAAGACTGGAATTTCTTCCAGCTGATTCTGGGTGGTGCAGCCAGGCAGGCCTGGGGCCTGGTGGGTAAATAAAGACAGGCACAGAGGGGACAGAGAAAAAAAATCGAGCCCTACATTCCTCCAGATCTCAGCCACTCCTAGAGGCCTGATCTGGCCTGCCAAGTGCATGCTCTTAGCCTCCTGCTTTCCAGAAGGAATCAGGCAAGGGAAATGAGAGCAGGGGCACAGGCTCCCAGGTGTGGCTCTGGTTATTGTTTAGCTGTTATTCCTCACCTGGGGGCAGGGGCGGGGGAGCACCAGGAAGCTGGATGTCCGGAGGGTGAGGGATGGGGCTGGGACGCAGGGAGCCAGCCGGGTCTGGTGGAAACCCTCAGGTTTAGGTGCCAGCTCTGCCACTCACTACCTGTGACCTTGGGCAGGTCGCTTAAGTTCTCCGAGCCTCAATTTCTTCAACTATGAAATGGGATGATAACAGAATACACCTCAAAGGGCAGGTATAAGGGTTTAATGGGCTTAGGCATGTCTCTGCGCAGTGTCTGCGCAGCCATAACCAGCCTCATTGTCATTCGGAAGTAGGCATATTCATCCTAGTTCATAGAGGATTATGAGATTCAAATGAGAAACCCTTTCCCAGCTCATAATAGATGCCCAATAAATATGTCCATTCCTTTCCTCTGTGATCATCTCATGTGCCTGTCTGTTGCCCTAGCCACTGTCCTGAGTGTTTCCCTTGCAGATGGCCGGCAATGCCTTGGGATAGTCTTTGGATCTTGGGACTACAGTTTAGGTTTCTACAGGGATCCTGGGTCCTGAGTGACCTCCGTGGGGCAGACCCCCAGTCTGCTCACCTCATCTGTTGCCGCTGCAGGTACTCGTAGCTGTTGGCACTAGATGGCCGAAGCCTGGACAGCAGGTGGGCTTTGCGGATGGTGATGAGATGTCTGTTGGAGAACAAGAGCTCGGTGGAAGGCATATGTGGCCAGCAGAGGGCACTGGGTTCCCACCTCCTCCCGGAAGCCACCCTCAAACTTGGCCTGAAATGAGGCTGCCCTACAAGGGCTCTGGGGAACCCTGAAAATCTTTCTAAGCCATAAAAAGACAATTGTTCCAATTATAAAAGTAAAAACCAAACAGTCTGGAGGCGGCCAGAGCCTGGGGGGCGGGGGGAGGAGAATGGGAGTGACAAGTGAATGGGTAAGGGGTTTCCTTCTGGGGTGATGGAAATATTCTGGAACTAAAGGTGGTGGCTACACAACAGTGTCAATATTCAAACTGCCACTGAACTGTTCGCTCTAAAAGGGTTAATTTATGCTATGTGTATTCAACCTCAATAAAAGTAAAAATAAAGTAAAACAGCCCTGGCCAGTGTTCCCAGTGGTTAGAGTGTTGGCCGGAGCATCACAGCTTCTCGGTGTGGTTCCGGGTCAAGGGCACGTACCTGGGTTGCATGTTCAATGCCTGACCCTGGTCGGGGTGTATGTGGGAGGCAACCAATAGCTGTATCTCTCTCACATCAATGTTGTTCTTTTTCTCCCCCCTCCTCTCATCCCCCTCCTTCCCTTCCACTTGCTCTAAAAATTAATGGAAAAAATATCCTCCCATGAGGATTAACAAACAAAAAAAAATAATTTAAAAAATAGTCCTAGCCAGTTTGGTTCAGTCGATAGAGTGTTGGCCCACAGATTGAAGAATCCTAGGTTCAATTCCAGTCAAGGGCATGTACCTGGGTTGCAGGCTTGATCCATGGCCCATGTTGGGGCATGTGTGGGAGGCAACCAATCGATGTGTCTCTCTCCCATGGATGTTTCTCTCTCTCCATCTCCTCCTCCTCCCTTCCACTCTCTCTAAAAATCAATGAAAAAAAATATCCTCGGGTGAGGATTAACAAAAAATAAATAAAAAGAATACTGTAATTAGATAGTGTTGTTTGAAAGAAAAATTCTGGATAAAGCTCCACAGCCCCGTCCATGAACTTGGACTGGGTGTTGATGAGCTTCAAGGGTCACCAGGACCTGACTAACACGGGGAGATCTTGTAGTGCCGATGGGCACTACAAGATCCTGGCTCTTAAACCATGTTAGAGTATTGTTTGGTGGCTCCTCAAAAAGTTAACCATAGAGTTACCATATAGCCCAGCACTTCCACTCCCAGGTTTACATCCAAAAGAATTGGAAACAGGTGTTCAAACAAATATGTTTTCATAAAGGCTAAAAGGTGGAAACAACCCATATGTCCATCAATGTATAAATGGGTCAACAATATGTGTTCTATCCATACAATGGGTTATTATTCAGTCACAAAAAGGAATAAAGTGCTGACACATGCTACAATATGGATGAACCTCAAAAACAATGCTCAGTGGAAGAAGCCAAACACAAGAGGCAACATGTTGTATGATTCCATTTCTATGAAGTGTCCAGAACAGGCAAACCCACAGATAGAAGTAAATTCAAGATTGTCAGGGGCTATGGGGACTGCTTAATAGGTCTGGGGTTTCCTTTTGGGATTATAAAAATATTTTGGGATTAAAAGTGGTGGTTTTACCATAGCTAAGATCTGGAAACAGCCTAAGTGCCCATCAGTAGATGAATGGATTAGAAAACTGTGGTACATCTACACGATGGAATACTATCCTGCTCTAAAAAGGAAGGAACTCTTACCATTTGCAACAGTATGGATGGAACTCGAGAGCATTATGCTAAGTGAAATAAGCCAGTCAATGAAGGAAAAATACCACATGATCTCACTCATTCATGGACAATAGAGACCATTATAAACTTTTGAACAATAATAGATACAGAGGCAGAGCTGCCTCAAACAGATTGTCAAACTGCAGCAGGAAGGCCGGGGAGGGTTGCGGGGCAGGAGGTAGGGGGGTAAGAGATCAACTAAAGGACTTGTATGCATGCATAGAAGCATAACCAGTGGACATAAGACATTGGGGGATAGGGGAGGCTAGGGGACTGTCTAGGGCGGGGGGATAAAATGGACACATATGTAATACCCTTTGTAATACTTTAAGCAATAAAAAAACAAACAAACAAACAAAAAAAAAACCTGGAAAAAAAAAAGTGGTGGTTTTATATTATGGTAAATGAACTAAATGCCACTGAATCGCTCACTTTAAAATGGTTAACTTTATGTTATGTGAATTTCACCTCAATAAATAACTAGACCATAAAAATACATGCAAAAAAGTCCCACAAAGTTTTGCTTTTCCCTACAGTTTTCTTCCATTATTTTTCTTTTGGAGTTGACCCAGTCCCTGAATCAGTGAGCACCAGACAGGGCTGATGAAGAAAGGAAGGGATGATGGTGGCCTGCGCAGGGACAGGGAGCAAATGAAATGATGTCTACAAAACATGTATGTGGATGTGCATATAAAGGATGTTTCTAGAACACCGCAGGCACATAGAGTGTGTATGTGTGTCTTTCTGTTTGTCCAGAAGAGAGAGGGCGGGCACAGATGCCCCTTGGTGACTATACTCACGGGCCAGTCATCATCTCCACCGGCCGGTCACAGGAAATGCATTTCACCCGCTCAAACAGTTTCCTGGAAGACATCATTCATCAGCTGTGGCACCCCAGCCAAGCCTGCGCGCTGCCCCTTTCCCAGGCAGTGTCTGGGGAGGCTGCAGGTCTGTCTATGCCTCATGGCCAGGACTAACCCTCATATCCTACACCCACTGGCCTGGCCCTGCTCAGTTGGCTTTGCTGGCCCCTGCTGACCCCCATTTGTGGCCTCCTGGGGCAGAAGGGGGGATAAAAGTGTGTGTCGCGCATCTTCCTGCCCTAAACATAATGGAGGTCTTTAAAACCAGAGACCTTCTGGAAAGCTGACCATCACAGTAGACATTTGGGGCATGAGGGGTGATCTGAGGGCAGGAAGCCTCATTGTCTGGGTGTGCTGTCTCGATGGGGGTAGGGGACCTGGCTCTGTTCCCAGATCCACCCAGGCTCCACTTGCATGTCTCCTTCCCTCTCTGAACTCCTCATTTGTGGCAAAAGGGCGCCAGCTAAGGCCAGAGCTGCCACCTCTGAGCGCCTGGGTGCTCTCAGGCCTCATCCCAACCCTTTCCACACCCAGCTGGGAAGTACCGCCCCCTCTCCCCAAGTCCACAGGTCTGAAATTCTTGCGTCTAGAATCCCCTGGGATCCCCCTCTCGTTCCCTCCTCAGACACAGGGTCCCCCAGCCTTCACAAGCTCCACCCCTCCCCAGGAGGGGCTCACTTCCTAAAGCCGGCGGCACTGTCAGGGTCGAATCGGAGGCCTTCAATTAGCAGCTTCTTGACTATATGCCAGACCTCATTTATGTCTTTCTTTAGACTGTCCAAATCCGTGTTGTTCAGCTGGAACAACCAAAGGGGGGGTGGGGGGTGGGGGAGTGTTTAGTCAATTAATTCACATGCTGCTTCACTCCAGAAAAGGATTTGCAGTAACCTGCAAAGTGACATCGAGCCTAACAAGATTAAACAGAAAAAAGTGAGGTGGTTAAGGAGAGGGACCTGACAAAGCTTGGGTTAAGGTTCATACCCCTAATGCACGCTAATGCTAGAGGGGAGCTGCCAAGTGAACTTCCCAGCAGCCACGGCAAAGAAACACCATCAGTTCCTGCCTCCAAATGATAAAACCAACCCTATGCTCAATTACAGGCCTGCAGGCCCGAGAAACATTCCTCCCAATGGTCCCCAGACAACTAATATTCACACATTCAACACATTTACTGAGTGCAAAGTACTAGTATACATTCAATGGCTTTGGATATATTCACAGAGTTGTGCAATCATCACCACAACAATTTTAGAACATTTTCATCACTCCCAAAGAAACCTCATACCCATTAGCAGTCACCCCTCACTTCCCCCCAGATCTCTAGGGGTAGGTAACCACTAACCTACTTTCTGTCTCTATAGATTCGTCTATTTTGAACATTTCACATAAATGGAATCACACAACCTGTGGCCTTTTTGTCTGGCTTCTTTCCCTGAGCATATTCTTTTCAAGGCTTATTCAGGTTGTAGCATTCCTTTTTATGGCTGAATAACATTTAATTTTATGGCTAAACTATATATTGTTTATCCATTCACCCACTGATGGACTTTTGTGTTGTTTTCACTTTTTAGCAACTATAATGCTGCTATAAACGTTCTTGTACAAGTTTGTACATAGACATAAGTTTTCATTTCTTTTGGGTAGATACGTAGGAGTGGAAATGCTGACTGGTATGGTAATTCTATGTCTAACTTTTTAAAAGACTGCCAGACTGTTTTCCACATGGGACTTCTGAATTTTTACAGTGTTCCTTCCAGTACCCAGATTCTGGTCTCTAAACACCAATGCCCACTAAAAGGAACCAGGACTCCATAGGAGATATAGCTGACTCAGGTCACAGGAAGGGAATGTTGATAATAAGCCTGTGACCTCTTGTCATTTAAGAAAACAAGACAGTTATCTGATTACAGAAGGTTAAGTCAAAGGACTCAGAAGCTAGCCCACAGGCCAAAGATGAGGCCATGTGAGTGACAAAATAAATAGTAACTTAATTGACTGAGTGAATTAAATAATAAAAATTCATGATTCACAGTTACACTCACAAAGAAGAAATAAAAAAAGAAAAATAGAAACTCTCAATTGCCACCATGTTTTGGATGTGGGCATGTCCATCAATATACTGTCCTGAAAACTGATCACTAAAGGAAACAATTCATCATTTTTCTGTCTTTCCTGAAAGAACCATATTTCAGGGTAATCAGCTCAAGTTGATGAAGGAAAGCTATTCACAGATTTCTAGCTGATAAATGTAGAAGCTACATCTGTCTTGCTCCCTTGGGTCACTCATTCTAGGGGAAGTCAACTGCAATGGTGTGAGGCCACTTGAGCAGCCCTAAGAAGGAGTTCATGTCGTGAGGAAGTGTGGAGTCTTGCCCACAGCCATGTGAGGGGGCCATCTTGGAAGCGGCTCCTCTGGCCCCAGTCAAACCTTCAGATGACAGCATCTTCATGGGAGAACCTGAGCCATCCAGCTAAGCAGCTCCCAAATTCTTGACCTTCAGAAACTAAATGTTTGTTGGTTTAAACTGCTAAAGTACAGGGTAATTTGTTACATCACAAGTGATAACTGATACAGGGAAACTCGCCTTGCTGCCCATGTCCTTGCTGAGCTGCTCCACAGTCTTCTTCCAGTCATCCTCTTGGGACATGACCCTCAACAGTATGCCCTGAATCATCTCGTTCAGCTCCGTTTCCACCCTCTCCAGATCAACCCGGCTTGCCTTGGCAGCCAGGATGCTCTTGTCAGCTTTCTAGAGAGAAAAGGGACTCAAAGAGGCAGAGCTGCTGGGGTGGGAGCAAGGAGAAGCTGGGGGAGATCAGATCATTTTGGTCATTTTTTTTCAAGTTTGGGACCCTGGATATGTAGCCTTGGCTTAAATTCAATCCTGGGGTCTATGCTGGCTCGAAGACAATCATCAGATCTAAGCTAAGGTTTTCCTATGACAGAGTTGGTGGGTGATTTTTAAGTTCATATAACAAATTGTCACTAACCTGAAGCACTGAAAATAGGAGCTGATGGGACAACTTTTGAGAAGTGTCCCCAGCCTTTCCATGTGAATAAAGGTGGAGGGAGACTGAAGTCACCCCGCCAGGTTTTGTCTTGGCTCGATGATTCCATTTCCCTGGGTGGGAGAGCTGGGGCTCAGGATGAGGGAGCAGGAGGGGAGAGAAATCTGCTCACTCACCTCTTTTAACTCCTGCTCCATCGCACTTTTGTCCGCCTTGATCATGTCTAGGTTTTTTATTTGAGACTCTAGAATCTAAGAAAAGAAGCAAAGGGCATGTCAGCCATCCCTGGAATCCCTGAGGATACTATCCACCTCTCACCTCTACCCTTGCTGTGGTGCTAAGAAGGGACCATGAGACCAGGTGGACAGCAGGTAGGGTGGGCACATGGGAAGGCTTGGGCTCCTGGGTGCCTGGTGCCAAGATTAGAAGGGAAGAAATGTGAGACTTGGGAAAAGTTGTCCTCTTGGAGGCAGACATGGCAATTTTGTTGCACAGGGAGGCAGACCTAAGGCAGGAAAACATAAACCAATGCTTTGGCTCCTTATATGTTTAGGACAAGTTCCTCTCTTCGGATCTGTAATGAGGTCCCAGTAAGAACTGCAGTCTATTCATCAGCCAAGCACTTACATATCACATACTGTACCCCATTGTCAAAGGAAAACTCTTCTTTCCCTTTCCCATGACTCTACTCTCTCCATTACTTCTGCCTCCTCTCCACTTACTGAACTCTCCTATGAGGCAGCAGCACCGACCTGGTTGGGAAGAGCCTCACGCCCACTGGGCTATGTCCCCAGAGGCTGAGGTCACTTTTCCTCCAAAGCAGAAAATAGGCTTCTACTTCTTCCTTCCTATCTTGTCTTCCTCTCATCCTTAGCAACAGAACCTCCAACTTTTAGCTGGCATCTAACCTCCCAGAATCATGACTACATTTCATAGCCCCCCTTACAGCTTGGTGTGACCACTGGGGGTAAAATAGAAGTGGATAGATGTCTTATTCACTGCTGGCTTGAATGCAGAATTAATGTCTAGAGCACCAGCAGCCACCTTGGAGCTTGAGGTGACCTTGTGAACGGAAGTCACACACCATGGAATTCTAGACCAGCTCTAGACCAATCATTTCTGACTTTCTTGTTTTTCTGTTACCTTGTTTCAGTCAGTTATCTGGGAGTTCATGTTATTCGCAGTAGAACTGAATTCTAATTAATGCAAAGCTCCATCACATCCACTTGCAAAGGGAAGTAATGTTTTCCAGAGAGTCAAAAAAAAAAAAAAGAGTTCTGTTCTCACTTATTTTCCTGCTGTATCTTGATTGGGTGGTAGTGATATGGGTGTGTAATAGGCAAAAATTAATTCACCTCTTATACTTAAAACTTGGGCATTTTACTGTGCATAAATTATACTTTATTAAAATCATCAATATCACTGTTTACTACCAAATACAGAAGAGCCTAGATGGTGTCTGTCTTGTTGACTGCTGCATCACCAGGCCTTGGAAGGGTGCCTGGTGCAGAGTGAAGGCTCAGTAAGATTGGCTGAATGACTCAATGAATAAGTAACATCACCTGTCATGTGCATAACACTTTCTCGCAGACATCCAGGTAAAGCAGTAACACCTATCCCAGATGTGTCTGCATGCCCTAATTTCTCTACTGGAAGGGCTCAACAGGGGCGGCTGACCTCTTGCGCATGTTCATTTAAGACATATTTAATGAAATATGTGTTGTATACTAAGCCCTGCTCTTCCAGGTCCTTCAAGGGTTAACTTTTATAAGCAATTAATTTTTTCTTGTTGGCACACAGGACAAGAAGGTAGTCAAGACAAAGACTGCCTTGCTCCATCTGGTGCTGTTTGGTTGGGCCTCATCCTCTGGAGTTTCTCTCAATGAGCAATGACTACTTGGAGACAGATACTATGACCCTTCCTCCCCTCGTGCAGGGCAGGGCATAGCGCTGGGTACACATCAGACATGTTGAATGAACTGGCTCATCTCCATTGAGGAAGGGCATCAATATATCCTTAGGACATGGCAATCTGGCCTCTTTGAAGCAGTGACAAAAAGAGGGCCCAGCATTGTCAGGAGCTGATGTTACTGATCTGGGTATTCACAAGGTCTGATCCTATTACCCTAGTCTCCTCTGTCCACACACAGTCCAGAACAGAACCTATCCCTCCCACCTGCACTTAAGCGGGGAACTGGCTCCCCGTGTATGATTTATTTTTCTGAGTTGCCCTGTGTGGGTCCTCTCCCTTTTGCCCCCTGCATCCTAACGCATCCCACCAATAGCCCCCTGACTGGTAATCAGAAGCTTGCATGGAAACCACCCCAGTTGGTTGTGTTTGGAATTTTTTCTTTCTACTTTGGGAATGACTTCTCCAAATGTCTGGGACCAGTCACACACTGGACTGGTCCTGAGGTCCAGCTCAGCAGTCAGAACCCATCAGGCTCATGGAGAATGTGTCTGGTGGAGTGAGCCCCTGGTAAGGATTCTATATCATTTCCATACTTTCCATGGCAGCAACTCCACTGTTCCAGAAAGGCCTCTTGGCACTGTTCGGTCAGAAAGAAGGTTGTTTAGGGGGAAAGTTATGAATGTAACGGTGCAAGAAATCCTCTGATTCATTTGATTCTTTCAGCACATTTTGAGCCTTCACTCTATGCCAGGCATTCTTCTAGAGGTGGGTGACCCAGTGGTTAACAAGAGGGAGGGACACTGTCGCCCTAGCTGGTTTGGCTGAGTGGATAGAGTGTCAGCCTGTGGACTGAAGGGTCCCGGGTTTGATTCCAGTTAAGGCACATGCCAGGGTTGCAGGCTCGGTCCTCAGTAGGGTGTGTGCAGGAGGCAGCCGATCAATGATTCTCTCTCATCATTGATGTTTCTATCTCTTCCTCTCCCTTCCTCGCTGAAATCAATAAAAATATATTTTAAAAAAAAGAGAGGGACACTGTCTAGGCCAATGGTCAGCAAACTCATCAGTCAACAGAGCCAAATATCAACAGTACTTCTTCAAAATAGACTCGCCCAGGCCAAAAACCGACTTCTGCGCATGGGCCACGAAGTTTCAATCACACTGTACGTGCGCACCTGCACGTGGTATTTTGTGGAAGAGCCACACTCAAAGGGCCAAAGAGCCGCATTTGGCTCTCGAGCCGCAGTTTGCTGACCACGGGGCTAGGCCCTTCTGTTATTCTAGAGGCCCAATGCACGAAATTTGTCCAAGGGCCTTGGCCCCACCCCCTGCCACTGCAGGCTCCCCCCTTCCCCACCCACGGCCAGGGGCCTCTGCTGCCTCTACCGTGGTACCCACCCACTGTGGCTTTGTCTGGAAGGAAGGATGTCTGGTCTAATTAGCATATTACACTTTTATTATTATAGATGTGTGCGTGCTTGTGGGAGAGGGCGGGATTTGTTTGTTTCTAATTGAGTATAATTTACACACAGGAAAATGCCAGTAAAATGTCCACTGGTTCCCCTGCCTTAGGTACATCTGTGAAACCGGGGAGAAGGTCTAAATATCCCCATAATTATCCCCTCAGCTGGCCGTCTGGGACCACCCAGACCTCCGAACCTTAAACTCCTCCAGGCGATTATAGATCTTTTCCACTGCCCTGTCCAGAACGATGTAGTGATCCTTCATCGCCGCTATTTGGTGGCCCCAAACTTTCTCGAGTTCCTCCTCCTAAAAGGGGGAGACACAGGCATTCAAGGCCTCTGCTCCTGAGGCCACCATGGGTGATGGGGCTTGAAGAGTGTTCCAGACCAGTGTAACTCCAACCTGCCATCTGCCGCCCGCCCCTCTCCCCCCAAACCTACCATCTTTCCCTCCCCGCAACTTGCCATCTCAACAACTCTGGGACACTTACCCACAGCCTGGGACCCTGCACCAGCTGGAGCAGTATGAGGGACTGCAGCTGCCTTCTCAGCCCCAAGCTGCCCCAGGCCTCCTTTCAGATAGAGGACAAATGCTCCATCTGGTTCTGGGTCATAGAGTCTGCCATCAGCTTGCAGACGGGTCATCTTAATAAAAGCTCCTTCTGCCCAGGACACTGACCTGTAACCTGGATTTCTGGAGGTTGCCAATCTTTTCTTGCAGTATGTCCAGTGTCATCCCAAACCTGGCAGAGCTTCCCCTATGAGCTGAAAGCAAAGGAGGGGTGACCGTTGGGGGCAGGGATAGAGAAAGAGGCTTTGTTTAGACCTCCACCTGCTTCTGTTATGAAATGTCTGAGGCGGTGCTGTCCAACAGAGCAATACTGTGCTGTGAGGTCGGGGCCTTTGAGGTCATTTAAAATTTTCTAGTAGTCACATTTTGTTTTGATAGTAGTAGTCACATTTAAAAAATCTAAAAAGATGCAAGTGACATAAATAGTTTTTTTATTTGTTTTGTGTGTGCATTGTGCATTAATTTTATTTTTGTTTATTTATTTTTAAATAATGTTTTGGTTTGGGTTTTTTTTGTTTGTTTTTACATTTTTATTGATTTCAGAGAGGAAAGGAGAGGAAGAGAGAGAGAAATATCAATGATGAGAGAGAATAATTGATCGGCTGCCTCCTGCTCACCCCACACTGGGGATCAAGCCCACCACCCGGGCATGTGCCCTGTCCAGGAATCGAAGTGACCTCCTGGTTCACAGGTCGATGCTCAACCACTGAGCCATGCCGGCTAGGCCATGTGTGCATTAATTTTAATAAAATATTTTATTTAACCCAATATGTCTAAATAGTATCATTTAAGTATGTAATAAAAATTATTAATGAGATATTTTGCATTCTTGTTTCTGTACTAAACTTTCAGTGTCCACTGTGCACTTCACACTTAGAGCACATCTGAACTTGAACTCGCCCCATTCCAAGTGTCTCCAGGTTATCATATTAGAGCAGGCCTAGGGAAAACTCTCTGGAATTTAATCCCCTCCCCAAAATGACCCTGAGCAAAACTATGAAATACCTTATTTAGAAGTATGTTATTCACCACAAAATAAAAAGAAAGATTTAACAAAAGAGGAGGGGGGTAATAAAAAAATAGATACGCTGTATCCAGTTCCAGATGAGAGGTCAAAAACTAATGTACAGGACAGAACTATGAATGTATGAAAGTTACTGCCAAGACGTGTTTATAACCTAACTATAGTTTCCTTAAAATAACATCTGGTCAGAGGTAGAATTTGGGCTACGATGGCTTTACATTTAAAATTAAATTCAGAACCTTAGCCATGCCCCAGTGTTCACTGATATCAATGTGGTTCTTTGTAACTATGTGATGTTCTACTTTTTTTTTTAAAATATATTTTATTGATTTTTTACTGAGAGGAAGGGAGAGAGATAGAGAGCTAGAAACATCGATGAGAAACATCGATCAGCTGCCTCCTGCACACCCCCCACTGGGGATGTGCCTGCAACCCAGGTACATGCCCTTGACCGGAATCGAACCTGGGACCCTTCAGTCCGCAGGCCGACGCTCTATCCACTGAGCCAAACCGGTTTCGGCTCTACTTTTTCTTTTTAAGATTTGTGAACAGCACTGCCCATTGGGGTGGTGCCACACATGGGTTGGACTTAGATTAATTCAACTATTGTACTTGGCAGAGAGCAAAACAATAAGGGAATGATTTACAGAGGCCGGGGAAACGGGTCTCAGAGGAGGTCCCCAGGCCAGCAGCATTTCCCCAGGAAGGTTAGAAATGCACATGATTGTGCTCCCCTCAGTCGCCTTCGTCAGAAACTCTGGGGTGGGCCCCACAGTCTGTGCTTCACCACGCCCCCTCAGGGGGTGTTGAGGTGAGCGCAAGGGTGAGAACTGCTAGGGTAGGCCACTGTGCCCCTCTGTCATCACTGAGCATATGCCCATCATGGGTATGAAATGGGAGCATAAATGTACTGGTCCCACTGACACCTAGAATGTGACTGTGGTGTATCAGGATCCATATGTGTACCAGGCAGTTGTTCTTAATCCCAAATTGACTGCTTCATCTTGGGGCTGTTCAGTGTTGCTGGACACTCTGGGGATCTGGACTTACCAAAACACTGTGTCTTACGGGCTGTTGAAAGGGAGATTTTCAAGACTAATTTTGACATGCAATTTTCCTCTTTAACACGTTAAGCGCCCAGCCTGTTTTGTCTTCCGGACGGAAAGTATAGTGTCAGTCACTGGTGACTGGGCGCTTAACGTGTTAAGCACCAACTTAGGCCTATAATTGCCCCTCTCTCCTAAAATAAGACCTCACTGTACATTCATTGTAAAGAATAGACTAGACTAGTAAGAGGCTAATGCTTACACCAAAGTAATGAATGGCGAGTGGCGGAATGTAGATTTTGTTGGGAGCAGTTAAGCAAAAGGAGAGGAGGTGCTGCTCGAAGGCCCTGGGGAGGGCCCGAGCCCTTACCACACTTCCCAGAGCCAGTCTGGCCTACCTAGATGAGCTATGTGATGTTTCATGTGGGATGACAGCTGGTCAAACTCTTCTTTCAGGGAGTCGTGTTTAACGGGTATCTGGGCTATGTGGCTCATGGAATACTTGACGGCCTTCTTCTTGTCTTCAGGAGTTATTGCCTGTTTGGCAACCAGCGTGGCCTGGGACAGCTCAGTGTCAGGAGCGATGAAGTGAGTAGCATACGTAGAAGCGACGAACTCTTCATAGCCCATCTCCGACGCATCAGTGATTGACACGGAGGGTATGGCCCCACGGGAAGACCCAGCGCCCATAACATCTGCAAAGATCCCTAAGGGTCCAGATGCAGCCACGCTTGTTGCTACAGAGGCCAGTTTAGTGGCGGGGGCATCCTTGACGACCAGGGCTGAGGACTCAGCTGCCCGGACTGAGGACTCAGCTGCCCGGGTTGCTGAGCTCGCGGCAGCCGCATAGGCGGCGGCAGCAGCAGCTGCAATGGCAGCAGTAGTTTTCATCCGACGAAGGGCGGTCCGGGCACTCTTACGGGGTTCTTCTTCAGAGGTTTGAGCAGCAGGGGCTGCTCCATCCTGAGTGTCTGTCTTGTACTGTAAGTAATCTTCTTCCATACCTTCTGAGACAGATGGGAGCTGGTGCATCTCTTCCTGTGACTCCGGTGTCTGAGGCCAGGCTGAGCCAGGCTCTATGGCTGGTGGTGGGGCCCTGAAACCCTGGGAGTCCAATTGGCCTGGGCCAGGCTGAAAATGACCTAAGCCCCAGAAAGGCCAACTGCTACTGTCAGACAAGCCTCTGGGAGGAAGCCCACCTCTTGATAGCATAGGCCAGAATCTTGGTGGTGTGGGCCAAAGGCCTGGGGCAAGCCCAGGCCCGGAGGCAGGACCAGGTCCAGGTCCAAACTCAGGCCCAGGCCCAGGGGGCATGGGTTCAGGGGCAGGCCCAGGTCCATACATAGGCCCGGGTCCATACATAGGCCCAGGTCCATATGGAGTCTCAGGTCCATACCCAGGTCTATACCCAGGTCCAGGTTCATATATAGGCCCAGGTCCAGGGGCAGGCCCAGGGGGCATGGGTTCAGGGGCAGGCCCTGGTCCGGGGGCAGGCCCAGGTCCATACCCAGGTCCAGGTCCATATATAGGCCCAGGTCCATATGGAGTCTCAGGTCCATACCCAGGTCCATACCCAGGTCCAGGTTCATATATAGGCCCAGGTCCAGGGGCAGGCCCAGGTCCAGGGGCAGGCCCAGGTCCATACCCAGGTCCAGGTCCATATATAGGCCCAGGTCCAGGGGCAGGCCCAGTTCTAGGAACAAACCCAGGTCCTGGGGCAGGTCTAAGTGCAAATGCAAGCCCAGGTCCATATGCAGGCCCAGGTCTGGCCATAGTCTTCGGCCTGAACCTAGGCCAAGGTGGTAGTATGAACGCAGGTGCCAGACTGGGCTGTTGTATGGGCTCAAGGCCAGGCATGGGCTCAGGCTCTGGCCCAGGTTTGGGTGCTGGCCCAGGCTCAAGCACCTGAGACTGGCCCAACCCCTGGGCCCCTGTGAGAGGAACTCCATGGGCAGACTCCTCCTGTACTTGCCCAGGGACCGGGTAATGCCAAACGGTCTCCAAGGGCCTGGGGAGTTGGAAGGCCTCTGAGACCTGGCTGGGACCAGAACTTTCGAGGAACATGGTGGTCTGGGGAAGTTCAGGCTCTGGGAGCTTCTCTGCAACTTTCCACATTTCAGAATCTTCTAGCTCTTCTGAAACATCTTCCTGTTGAACAGTTCCCTGTGGAAAAGGGAGCTGGGGTGGCCAGGGCTGCACCAGGCCAGCTCAGCGATCACCCTGCCTGTTCCCTCACACCTACTTCCTCCTCCTCCATCTTCTTTCACTTACCGGGGTGAACAAGGCATCGTGGAGGCTACTCCAGAGTACCAAGTCGTCAACTTTGGGGATGGTGCTAATCTTGTTCTCGAGAGCAGTCTGGGAGGAGTAGGAAGGGGTTGTAAATAAGGGATGTGAACCTGGAGGGTGTGATACCCTTGGATGTGGCTCCCTTGTCCACACTGCCCTCTATACTTGCAAATGAATGGGCCTTTCCAGATTGTGCTCCCCTTCTGACCCCTCCCCATGCACGGCACCCCTGGGCCTAGAGGTCAGGGGAGCAGGGAGGGAGGATGGGACCGAGTCCCTCACCACATCCCGCTGCAGCACATTTATCTTCCGGTTCTGCGCTTTCATGTCATCAAAGAAAGTGTTTATGCGGTCCAGGTGTATCTGTCAAATAAGCCAAACCCATGCATCAGGAGTGTCAGTTCTGGTCTCAGCCCTGCTTCTCTCACTGCTCAAATACAAGGACTTAGCACTAGGTGACTAAGAGTTGGAGAAGGAAGAAAAAGTGTTTCCCAGAGAGTGAGAAAGGGATCAAAAAGAGTTCCCTGGGCAAAAATGTTTGGGGAATGTTGGGCTTAAAAAAGCACTCAATGGGTTTTTGTACTGCAGGACTTCTCAGAGCTTTTAATGGGCAAAAAAACATTAAGGACCTCCAAACCCAGCCAGTATTGCTCAATGGTTGAGCATCAACCTATGAACCAGGAGGCCACAGTTCAATTCCTGGTCAGGGCACATGTAAAACCTTGGTCCCTGGTAGGAGGAGTGCAGGAAGCAGCCAATTAATATTCTCATCACTGATGTTTCTCTCTCTCTCCCTCTCCCTTCCCTCTCTGAAATCAATTTTTAAAATATCAAAATAAAAAAAGAACTCTTACTATTTGCAACAGCATGGATGAACCTGGAGAGCAATACGCTAAGTGAAATAAGCCAGTCGGAGAAAGATAAATATTACATGATCTCACTCATTTGTGGAATATAATAAACAACATAAACTGATAAACAAAAATAGATACAGAGACATAGAAGCATTGAACAGACCATCAAATCTCAGAGGGAAGGCAGAATCTTCCAGCTCTGTGGGAAAGGGTTGTAAGAGATCAACCAAAGGACTTGTATGCATGCATATTAGCATAACCAATGCATAAAGACAGTAGAGGGGTGAGGCCATGCGCTGGGGGGCAAAAACAGGCAAAGAGAGGACAATGGGGGGAAAAGGAGACAGATGTAATACTTTCAACAACAAAGAATTTTAAAAAAAGAATCTCTAAGAGATTGGTTAGGAGGCATAGCTTCTCAAATGAATTTGTTCAAGGGTCCTTTTTAGTGTTTCATGACAATGCCCTTTCTGCTCAGATGGGAGCTACCTCGCCCAAGATTAAAGTTCTCACAGTTGCCACGATGATCAAGTGTATACACTGACCTGTGCATTGAAGATGATGCTTCAATCGTATTATTTGGAGGCAAGCTGTAAAACCTCCACCACAATATCAGCCTGGGGGTGTAGAGAACTGGCTTCTGAGCCCAGTTCTGACTCCCCAACTATGAGCTCATACTTCAGAAATTCCATGTCTTTTCACATCATGGTAAAGAGTTAGAACACTCCTGGGTTGATGTCCTGGGGCTATAGAGGGAGCTAGCATGTAGGCCGTGCTAGGTTTATTCTCTGTCTCAGGGTAAAAAGAGCTTTCTAAAAGAGGAAGAGGTGCCCTCTTTCTCCTAAGTTAATGGAACATAAATAAGCCTAGAGTAGCCAAGACGTAGGGAGTACCTACCTACATGAATATGAAGCCAACCCAGAGGAAAATCATCCCTGAGAGAGAAGTACTGATGTGGTATGAACACCTAGATCTAGCTGTACCTGAAGGCATTCCTGTACTTTTTAGTAAATGAGACAATAAATTATCTGACTTTACCTAAGCCAGAATGAACTAAGACTCTGTCACTTACAAATGGTGTCAGAGCATAGCATAGTGAGGAGCATAGCATGGCGGAAACCACAGAGAATTCAGTGGGAAGGGCCAAGTGGCTGGACCATGTCAGTCCTCATCTCCTGCCCCGATGGCTGTGTCCTTTGACTAAGAATGGGCTTCCTAGATTTATCCTGACACCCAACCACCAATGGTCCGAGCAGCATGGCCAGCTTGGAGGATGCTGGGGAGGGTCTACCTTATTCCACATGTCCTTCAGCATGTCCACATCCTTCCTGAGGGTTTCAGTGTCAGCCTTGAGTGAATTAATGTCGGTGAGCAAATCCTGCATGGTCTTCATAGCCTGAAGAGGGAGAGAGGAGGAAAAAAACATGAAGTTGTGTGTGGCTGGGGGAGAAGGCAAGTAAAGTATGGAAGTTCTCTGATGACTGCCATGGTCCAAGAAGTCCTCTTGGAGCTGCTACTGCACCTTTCTAAGTATATTCCCAAGGCCTTTGCTGGAATATACGCAAAAGCCAACAAATGACAGTTGAATCAACAGTGCTCTGAGCTCTCAAATAGCCTGGGTGGGAAGGAGGCAACCCTGTGTTTGAATGTATTCAGTAACCAGGAGCCACTCATTATGAAGCACCACATGCCCTTTGGTGGGAGCTACTGGAGATCAGCAAAGGAGTTATGATTGGATCTGCTTTTTTTTTATATATATATATATATTTTATTGATTTTTTACTGAGAGGAAGGGAGAGAGATAGAGAGTTAGAAACATCGATGAGAGAGAAACATCGATCAGCTGCCTCCTGCACATCTCCCACTGGGGATGTGCCCGCAACCCAGGTACATGCCCTTGACCGGAATCGAACCCGGGACCTTTCAGTCCACAGGCCGATGCTCTATCCACAGAGCCAAACCGGTTTCGGCTGGATCTGATTTTTTTAAGCAGGATAGGTTTTTTATTTTTATAGTGATTTTAGAGGAAGAGAGGAGGGGAGAGAGAGAAAGAAACATTGATGTGAGAGAGAAACATTGGTTGGTTGTCTCCTGGACATGCCCCAACTGGGGATTGAACCCGAAACTAGGCATGTGCCCTGATCAGGAATTGAACCCACAACCTTTTGGTCCATGAGACGACACTCCAATGGACTTAGCCACCCAGCCAGGGCTGGTCTACATTTTTAGAGGGTCCTTCTGGCTGCATGTTTAACCAGGGCAACAGGGGAAGCTGGACGACCAGTGAGGAAACTTCCAGGCAAAAGCTGATGGTGAAATGCTGGGCTCATAGCTGAGTTTCACCACTGACTGGAGCTGCTACTGCACCTTTCTAAGTTTTTGATTTCTCAATCATAAAATGCATATAAAAATGTGATCATGTATATAAAAAGTCTAGTGCATAGTTAGGCATTCAGCTAACAGAAATAAAAAATAGCAAAATGGCAGAAGTCCTTCTTTTAAAATAAAATAAAAATTTAATCCTCACCCAAGGATATGTTTATTGATTTTTTAATGAGAAGAGAAGGAAGAGAGAAAACAACAACAACAACATTGATGTGAGAGAGAAACATTGACGGGCCCTATATAAGCCCTGACCGGGGATTGAACCCACAACCTGTATGAGATGATGCTCCAACCACACCGGCCAGGGCCAGAAATCCATCTCATTATTAATTATATTAAATGTGAATGGCAGAGATTGATATAATGAATAAGAAAACATGATCCAAACTCATAGTGTCTAGAAGAGACATATTTAGATTCAAATATGCAAACAGGTTGAAAATAAAAGGATATAAAAAGATATACCATGCAAGCAGTATCCAAAAGAGAACTGTAGTGACTATATTAATATCAGACAAAGTAGACTTTAAGATAAAAATTGTTATGAGAGACAGAGAGACATTTATAATGACAAGGGGGTCAATCCATCAGGAATACATAATAAGTAAATATATGCACCCAACAATGGAGCCCCAAATACATGAAGCAAAAAGTGACAGAACTGAAAGGAGAAATAGATAATTCAACAAGAATAGTTGAAGACTTCAACACTGCATTTCCAATAATAGATAAAAACAACTGGACAGATCAGCAAGGAAATAGAAGATATGAACAATACTATAAACCAATCAGACATAATACATCTATAGAAAACTCCACTCAACTATGGCAGAATACAATCTTCTCAAGCACACATAGAATATTCTATAGGACAGATCATAAGGTAGGCCATAGAACTAGTCTCAGTAAGTTTAAAAAGGACTGAAATAATACAAAACATGTTCCCTGACCACAATTGAATTAAATTAGAAACTAATAACAGAAGAAGCTATTAGAAATTCATAAATATGTGGAAATTAAACAACATTCTCCTAAATAATTCATGGGTCAAAGAAAAATTCACAAAGGAAATTAGAAAACACTTTGAGATGAATTAAAATTAAAATACAACACAAAAATCTGTGGGATGCAGCTAAAGCTATGCTTAAAGAGAAATTTTAGTTGGATATGACTATATTAACAGAAAAGAAAGATCTTATATCAATAGCCTAACCTTCCACGTTGAGACACTGTGAAAAGCAGAACAAACTAAAACTAAAGCAAGTAAAAAGTGAAACAATAAAGATTAGAGTGGAAACTAATGAATTAGAGAATAAAAAATAACAGAGTGAATCAATGAAACTAAAAGCCTGTTCTCTGAAAAGATCAACGAAATTAGCAAACCTTTAGCTAGATTGATCAAGAAGAAAGAAAAAAAAGAAGACTTAAATTACAAGAATCAGAAATGAAAGAGGGAACATCATTATTGACCTGACAGAAATAAAAACAACTATAGCCCTGGCTGGTGTGACTCAGTTGGTTGGAGCATCGTTCAGTACACCGATGAAGGTTCACGGGTTACTAGGTTGCAGTGCCTACAGGAGGGAACTGATTGATGTTTCCCTCCCTACCTCACTCCCTCCTCTCCCTTTCTCTCTCTCAAAAAATCAATAAAAACACATCCTCTGGTGAGGATTTAAAAAATTAAAACAATTATAAAGGAATACTGTGAACAATTGTATGGCAACAAATTAGATAAGTTGGAAGAAATGGACAAATTCCTAGAAAGACAAACTACCAAATCTGACTCATGAAGAAATAATTTTTAAAAAATATATTTTATTGGTTTTTTACAGAGAGGAAGGGATAGGGATAGAGAGTTAGAAACATCAATGAGTGTTGGGGTCCAACCCCAGCAGGTCCAGGGGTTCCCAAAGGTGTGGACGGAGTGGGCGAAGAAGGAATGACATGGAGACAGTGTTCAGTTGGTCAGCAGCCTAGCCAGGTTCTCTAACCAGGATCTCCAGCCAAGTTCTGTCTAGGTCTCCAGCCAGGTTCTGTCCCTAAGTTCTCCAGCCAGGCTCTGTCTTTTATTGTCTTGTTACATCTGTATTTATACCAGTTGATTTTAAGCCTGTCAATTTCCATTGCAAAGGTTAGGACGTTTCTTATCTCCATTCCAGGGAGTAAAGATTATGTAGCTTAAGGGTGATTGTTCGTAGTTAAAGTGATTAATTACCCGCCTGGCATTTAGTTAAGGGGTTTTATTCCCTCCCTAACTTCAGGGAAAAATCCCTACCTGGGGAAACAACCTTTCTCGGAGAGGTGACCTTGGTTAAAACACGTAACGCCAAGAAGGTGAGCAAACATATTAAGAACAGTATGCCATATACGCCAGATCCCTTGAAACATATGCTGTGCAGCTGTTTCTTCCCTGCAGCGACTGTGTCAAGCAGCAAGGATGGACCGGCTTCCAGCAAATGAGAGAGAAACATCAATTAACTGCCTCCTGCACACCCGCTACTGGATATGTGCCCGCTTTGACCGGAATCAAACCTGGGACCCTCCAGTCCGCAGGCCGACCCTCTATCCACTGAGCCAAACCGGTTAGGGCATGAAGAAATAATTTCAAAAGACGTAAACAAATGATGAGATTAAAATAATAATAATAAAATAGCACAAAAGAAAGGCCCGGGCTCAGATTACTTCACCACTGACTTCTAGAAAACAGTTAAAGGAGAATTAATATAATTCTTCACAATTTTTTTAATAGAAAAATTCCAAACTCATTCTGTGAGGCCAGATACCAAAATCAGACAAAGGCATAACAAGAAAACTAGAACATGGATGCAAAAATCCTCAACAAAATATTAGCGAACTGAATCCAGCAACACATAAGAATATTCTATATAACCCAATTAAAAACAGGCAAAGATCTGAAAAGACATTTCTCCAAAGAAGATGTACAAATGGCCAATAAATACATGAAAAGATGATCAACATCATTACCCACTGAAAGGGTAAAAGAGAATAAAATGGGGCAGAGGAAACGTATTGTCCTTAGTAGATATCTTGCAGAAAGCTTGCAGCATTGAGCTCCGATAGCCTACATCAGTGGTCACCAACCTTTTGGACCTCACGGACCACTGGTTGGCGACCGCTGACCTAAATAACCAGGAGACACCTGGCACCGCCAGTCAAGCTCTGTGTGTCAGCAGATACTGCCTGCAGCCAGCAGAAGGTGATAAAAGTCTTGCCTCCCCTTCAGTTTCGGATTCCGCCAGTCTGCACCCAGGCACTTGAAATAAAATTTCTTCTGATACATTACGGCCTCATGTCATTGGTGCGCGACCCCGACCCACTCAGAACCTTTCACCCATCAGGGAAATGCAACTCAAAATCATAATGAGATACCACTTCATTCCCACTAGGATGGTTAGAATTAAAAGTCAGATAATAGTAAGTGTTGGTAAAGATGTGGAGAAACTGGAATCTTCACACACTGCTGGTGGAAATGTAAAATGACGCAGCTGTTATAGAAAACAGTGTGGTAGTTCTTCGTAAGATTAAACAGAGTTACTATATGACCTAGAAAGTCCACTCCTAGTGATGATGTACCCAAGAGAAATAAAAACATAGGTCTATAAACTTGTACATGAATGTTTATAGCAGCTTCATTTATAATAACAATCCAAATATCAATCAACTACAGATGGATAAACAAAATATGATATGCTCATAATATAGGTTATTATTCAGCCACAAAAAGGAATGAAGTACTGATGCTATAAGGATGCACCTTGGAAACATTATGCCAAGTGAAAGAAGCCAAATACAAAAGACCACATATTGTATGATTCCATTTATATGAAATGTCCAGGCAAATCTATAGAGACAGAAAGTAGATTAGTGGTTGTTTATGGCTGGGGGAGTGAAGATTGAAGGAATAGAGTGGTGATAACTAAAGGGTACAGGGTTTCTTTTTGAGGTGATAAAAATATTTTAAAATTGACTATGGTGACAGTTGTATAT